TAACAGACAATGTCAGATGTGGAAATGGGAGACAAATACGGGAGCAACGCAGTGCGTATCTTCAAGCTGATACTAACAGTAAACAAAGAACATTAATAGCGAATTGAGATCTGAGAATTTGCTTGCAGTGTTTGGCGTTTGTCACCGCATTGTGTGATAAGACGTGAGTGTACAGCTGCTTGCTTCACCTATCCGCGACAACAAAAACCTGAGGCGTTTCGCTTCCTTCTCGAACTCGTGCAACACAGAGGGGCCCATTCTTTATGCAGCACGCGACCAAAGACGAGCAAAGGTCATCAGAGCCCTTTCCAAATGTTTACAGAAGGCAGTAACTCATTCCGTGGACAGGTGATGATTTGGGGGGTTATCAGAGTTTGAGACATATTTCTTGGTCACATGGTTATTTTCAGTCAAATAAACTGCTTAATTATTTAACTTCCATTTATTCTTGTGCGGATTATTTCACAATTCAGCCAGGAAGGCTTTAACGTACTAAAACTTTGTATTCTGCCCACACAGTGTATCTGTGTATTCCGTATGGTTCTCACAGTAAACAGCGACTGTTTCCCTAAACAGCATTAACCGGTTGGGCTTTGTAGCGGAGACGTAATGTGTTTCCTGTGAGGTACGGCCTGAATTGCTGTATATTCTGCCCACACAGTGTATTTGTGTGTTCCGTATGGTTCTCACAACAAACAGCGACTGTTTCCCTGAACAGCATTAACCGGTTGGGCTTTGTTATGGTGACGGAGTGTGTTTCCTGTGAGGTGCGAACTGAATTTATATACACTATTTAGAAGTTCACTTTTTAAACTGTTCAATTATGCTGGCCCTCGCCAGCACAGCGATTCTTGGTTTGTAGTCCCACGGGACTTATGACATTATTTTATGGCCTGACGGTTCTGGGAGCGTTTGGTCATTCCTAAGGTCATGAGTCACGTGGGACATGAGGGAGTGGAGGTAAAGCTCCATTTTAACCTCGGCACTACATAGAAGTTATTGGTACACATCCCGGCAGCTTTACCCCCGGTGAATTGGCCTCCTGGACCCATTGGATAGGAGGCTGGGTTGGCCCCAGAGCCCGTTTGAGCTCTGCAGAGAAGAGGAGAAAAATAATCTTGCCTCTCCGAGAATCAAACCCCGATTCGTCAGTCGGACAGCCTGCTGCGTATTCACAAGACTTCCTGAGCTATCCCGGTTCCTATGAAGCTGTCAGCGTCTATAGCACAGAACGGAAGGTTGACTAATGATGAATTGGAAAGGTACGTGGTTTTACTCTAGACGCTAACCCAGCATTTGTCTGGAGGGACTGAAACAAAAACCACAAACACCTCAGTCAGGGTAGGCCGCGTCCGACCGTTAAGATTGAAGCAGCGTGTTCTTCTGAAACGTCGGTGAACTCTTACGTGAGAACACTTCCCAGAAGAGATATTCCGAAGCTCCGCGTGTGATGTCGACACAGCGTGACCCTAGCAATAACGGTAGTAGGCATACCACCAGAAATTTCATAAAAGACTAAATATTTACACTTCTAACGTTAACCAAAGCGTTCGGTAAGCAGAAGGGTGGCCAGAGTGGGTCACGTGCCCGCAGCCGAGATTACAGACTGGATGGACTGAGTAACTCCGGGCCCAGTATTACTTCATAGCGACCGCTTCCTTACAGATCCTTTCCAGTTAATCATGTGATCCTACCATTCGGCGCTCTATAGTCTCAATACAGACAGAATCGTAAAGCAAGCCACAAGAAAACCATTTTACCATGTCCTCTCACGTGCTGAACGGAGAGCAGATAGAAGAATGTGTGAACAAATGTTAAGAAATGAAGAAGAAGAAGAAGATATAGAGATGGATGATGTAAAATTAAAGTTGCCCCTGTGCTTAACTAATTAAGCACTAAACCATGGCGGCGTATGGGGGAGTGGATGTATAAATCCACGTTCTCTTGGCCTCGGCAATAATTGGAGGTGAGCGGTCAGTTTCACGCCCCTGCCGCTTTAGCCCCACGAAAAGAGCCCCCCAGTACCCATTGGATATGAGATTGGGTGGGCCCCACAGCCGGTCTGGACGACGTGGAGAAGAGAAAATTCTTGACCCTACCGGGACTGGAACTCCGACCCCTCGGTCATCCAGCCAGTAACCAGTCGCTATACCGACTGAAAAGGGAAACACAAAACGAAGGGAAGACAGGAATAATGAATAGTATTAAGGAAGGAAATAAAGAAGAAAGAAGAAACGAGAAGGGACAGAAAGAGGAAGAACTAAAGGAAATGTAAACAGAAAGAAAAGGTGAGAATGAAGCTGAGTAACAAGGAATGAAGGAAATAAAGGGAGGAAAGAAGGAAATGAAGCAGTGGGGATGGACAGACTCAGTGTGACGCCACAGGTGGCCGGCCGCTCTGTTCCCTCGCCGTGCCGCCGAAAGTACGTATCACACATTCTTCCAGAACTTCTTATTTGTTATTACGCATTAGAAACTTAGCATAACGCCATTTTGGGAACAAGAAACAGGCAACCTGCGTGGCACACAAATAAAATGTTATTCTTCCCTTAATATGAGAGACCGAGTTTCACACCCACACAAACGACAAAATTGTACTTTTGTATTGTGACGTGTAGATTCATTTCTAGGCAACGCACGAAATACGTGCACGCAGCAATGGGAAAGGTACTGGAAGAAGTATTTTCTATGTCATCCGCGCAATGCCCAGTGCTAGGCAACGGTCAAATAGACACGTACTCTGACAACAGAATAGGTGTTTTATATGTGGTTCGCGCCATGCCTAGTGCTAGGTAACGGGCCAATAAGCACGCATTCTTGATACGTGTTGTCCGTGAAGTCCGGCCCGAGTCTGTATAATGAGTGGCGAGCAATAGTTGGGAGTTCAAAAAATTCTTAGAACGAGAACGGAGTGAGTCCTGAAGATTGATTGTAAACTGATTGTGATTAAGAGTTTTTATTTTATCAGTAATCTGTCAGACGACAGGTCCACAGTCTCTCCCAAAACAGTTTCTCCACTTAATGCGATCTAGGGATTTCTCCTTCAAATGAGAATATCCTCTTCTGTCTTCTTACGTCTTCTGGTTCGCATACATGGTGTCTCTGTGTTTGGAAAGAGACTATCCAGGAAAAGTGATAATGTGGTAGTTTTTCCATTTGCTTTCCACATCGCAGTACAGCAGCCGTTCAAACCACTCTGGTCACGCCTGTTGCTATACGAACTTGAACCATCTCGAGCANATCCTCTTCTGTCCCCAAGGTCATCCAGCATCTTCTTACGTCTTCTGGTTCGCATACATGGTGTCTCTGTGTTTGGAAAGAGACTATCCAGGAAAAGTGATAATGTGGTAGTTTTTCCATTTGCTTTCCACATCGCAGTACAGCAGCCGTTCAAACCACTCTGGTCACGCCTGTTGCTATACGAACTTGAACCATCTCGAGCATCATTTGCTCTGTGCTTCAAGTCGCTACTGATGACGCTGCTTCCGGCATCAGTTTTTGGTTTTTGGTGTCCCTCTTCGTCTGATGCCTACCCTTTGATCTGTCCAGCAAGGGAGGCCCTGCCAGTAGTTACGCTACCGCTGGTATAGCTCTCAGGGTCCTTGGCATACTCAAACCCCCTCACCACGATAAGGTGGAAGCACCAACGAGAGGGTGATTAAGAGTGATTGTAGAAAAAGCGTTAATTAAATCAAATCATTCAATCCAGAAGCCGTTATTATTAGTCACGGAACCCCGGACACGTGACAGTATATTTCAGTCTTCACACCGAGCAAATTGGTCCAGCGGTAAGGTTCTGTACTGCTACCTGGGAGGTACTCAGTTCAAATCTGTCAAGCCACCGGCTATCCTAACTAAGGTTCCCTTTACTGGTATTCCCCAGTCCCTCCATGCAGCCGCTGGGATAGTAACTCATTAGGGCATGACCCTTTCCTTACAGATCCCTGTCTTAATTTCTTCACGAATTCAATTTTAATTCGTTAGTGCGCAGATGTGAATTCAAAACAACGCGCCCAGTGCTACCGGATCGTAACTGCGTCGTTGACCAACTCCCCACCAAGATGACGAAACAGTCAAATGTTACACAGTGTGTTTCAATCTTGCGTCAGCAATGTTGTAAACTTGTTTATTTATTATTGCGTAAACAGACTGCTAGATCAAGACCAACACAAACAATGAGAAATTGTAACAGTTCTATTTGCTGACGCTGCGTGGCGCTGTAATAGCAACAATAATAAATCGCAGATCAAATATGACGTGTCTACTAACACAGAGTCGCTTATACTGCGTCTGAAACATCTTTGACGTTACGTCATCATCAGGCGGTGACGTAGATCGTTACGTCATCGCTAGAAAGTTATTAGGCTGTAGTTTCAGCATGCAATAAAAACCAAAATCGCTGTAGTGAGAGATCTCGTTCAACACAGAAAGTAACATAGTACCAAAAAGATATTGTGACGTGTATACCCATTGCTAGGCAACGACTCGGTAAACACATTCCCGCCATAGCCAACGAGCCCAGCAATAGGACTGTATTCCTAGGCAAGAGATCAGTAGACACGCCTCATTAACAATAGAGGCTGTTTTCTGCGTGGTCCGTGCAAAGTGATTATAAATCAGTGTTCAACAACATAAAGTGAAGTGAAGAGTCGAGTTTCGAGACGCCAGCCTGTAGGGATATGAGCTTGAGAGAAGAAGAATTGAGTTGAGACGAGTCTTCTGAATTGACACTTGCAGAACAGTGGCAAGAAAGGAATTATGCAGTGAAAAAAGACTTCGCGTGTGATTTGAAGTGATACTGAGACTGATATAAATCCGTTGCCAGGATACGACTAGTGAAGACTGAGAACCCTAGTGTGTGTGTAACGGTGAATTATAATATCGTCCTTCATTTATTCAAGCTTTCATTAATTTCGTTCGCCCTTTTATCTCCTTTGTTTCCTTCCTGCCTTCCGCCCGCCCCACAATGCACACTCACTCCTTTCGTCTCGACCCCACAGGCTGTTGAGCGACGAGGACAAGAGGCCCTTCGTGGACGAGGCGGACCGTCTGCGCATGATCCACAAGAGGGAACACCCCGATTACAAATACCAGCCGAGACGTCGGAAGGGTTTGAAAGGGGGTTCGGGCGGCCCGGCTGGCCCCACAGGGAGCACGTCACCCCACAGACAACTTCAGGCGCAGTCGCCACAACAACAGACGCACGGCGTCGTGTTCAGGTAAGCACTCAGAATATATCACAATGAACCTCCTGGAACGAGAAGTTTAGGCACACTCTGCTATTCGTTCAGGGGCACAGTGAGCTTAAGTGCATAAAGAGCAGCGGTAAAAACTGCCCGAAAATCATGCCGACGTTTTCAGCTTGCACTGTATACGCGGGGCTTGGTTAACTGCCTCGCCTTCTCTTTGTTGTGAGATAGTATAGAGTCACATTCACCTGCAGGGATGCATCCTCCGTTACTTGGTGTCATATCAACGTGACACGCGACAAAGCGTAATTGTGCATAATCAATCACCGTGACATTATGTGGGGGAGTGGAGGTATAGCTCCATGCATTTTAACCTTGGCACTACACGGAGTTGAGAGGTCAGGTCTAAGGGCCGACTGTTTTGCCGCCAGGGACACAGCCCTCAGTACTCACTGCAGAGGGGGCTGCATGAGCCCCACAGCCGGTCCGCCGGGAATCGAACTCATATTCCCCTCACTCCACCTCGTAGCCTAGTCACTACACTGACTGAGCTGTCGTGATTCTTAGGTGATATACATGTATACGAAACCTTTAAATATGCAATCATCACATCAAAACGCATTCCTAATTTTCCATCAACACATTTATCTTAAGATATCTTAATCGATGTAGTTGATACAATGTAAAATTTTCTGATCGGGGACGAGTGCATTGCATTATTCACAGGAACAGGTGTAAGCAGGAAGACGGTAATCTCAGCGGTGGAAAGTCCTCTCCACAGACCCTCGCATCAGGGTCCCCGAACAGCGCACACGGGCCCCCTACACCCCCTACGACCCCTAACGGCGGCGGTGACAAAAGGACAGGCACAACCTCTTCTGTCCCGCATCACCTCAGCCCCAGTGGTAAGTGCATCTTCAGGTGTTAACACCACTCTAGAATTCAAACAAGAAGGCGAGAGAAGCACAACAACACTGCAGTGTTGCACCTCAGCCCCAGTGGTAAGTGCATCTTCAGGTGTTAACACCACTCTAGAATTCAAACAAGAAGGCGAGAGAAGCACAACAACACTGCAGTGTTGCACCTCAGCCCCAGTGGTAAGTGCATCTTCAGGTGTTAACACCACTCTAGAATTCAAACAAGAAGGCGAGAGAAGCACAACAACACTGCAGTGTTGCACCTCAGCCCCAGTGGTAAGTGCATCTTCAGGTGTTAACACCACTCTAGAATTCAAACAAGAAGGCGAGAGAAGCACAACAACACTGCAGTGTTGCACCTCAGCCCCAGTGGTAAGTGCATCTTCAGGTGTTAACACCACTCTAGAATTCAAACAAGAAGGCGAGAGAAGCACAACAACACTGCAGTGTTGCACCTCAGCCCCAGTGGTAAGTGCATCTTCAGGTGTTAACACCACTCTAGAATTCAAACAAGAAGGCGAGAGAAGCACAACAACACTGCAGTGTTGCACCTCAGCCCCAGTGGTAAGTGCATCTTCAGGTGTTAACACCACTCTAGAATTCAAACAAGAAGGCGAGAGAAGCACAACAACACTGCAGTGTTGCACCTCAGCCCCAGTGGTAAGTGCATCTTCAGGTGTTAACACCACTCTAGAATTCAAACAAGAAGGCGAGAGAAGCACAACAACACTGCAGTGTTGCACCTCAGCCCCAGTGGTAAGTGCATCTTCAGGTGTTAACACCACTCTAGAATTCAAACAAGAAGGCGAGAGAAGCACAACAACACTGCAGTGTTGCACCTCAGCCCCAGTGGTAAGTGCATCTTCAGGTGTTAACACCACTCTAGAATTCAAACAAGAAGGCGAGAGAAGCACAACAACACTGCAGTGTTGCACCTCAGCCCCAGTGGTAAGTGCATCTTCAGGTGTTAACACCACTCTAGAATTCAAACAAGAAGGCGAGAGAAGCACAACAACACTGCAGTGTTGCACCTCAGCCCCAGTGGTAAGTGCATCTTCAGGTGTTAACACTACTCTAGAATTCAAACAAGAAGGCGAGAGAGTAGCGGCGTGTCGTGCCAAGAGAGGCACAAAAATGCTGCAGTGTTGTCAGATCTTCCTGTCCAGACCGACACAGCTTCAATCAGCAATATGATGTGGTAGTACTAAATCATGTCCGGCAATCCTGCATTTACGCAGCTTTACAGCGGGCTCAGAATTTAGGCGGGGGGGAGGAGGGGGCAGTGCCACCATTACGTACACAACTGGAAGCTGCTGTACGCATGCCCTGTTAAGTCCACAGTTAAAACAGAATAAATTGGAGGATATAATCGATCGTAAGCTGACATAATACACGGTTCGGTAACTTTAAATAAGATCGTTGTTTAACGTGAACGGGGATCTCCATAACGCTGATGGTTATAAAGCGGGTCTTGGCTGTATATCTGCTGGAAACAATTTTAGTTTAGCATTAAAATACGAGTAAAGTGTCCAGTTTTGAAAATCATGAATAACCTATGATAACAGCCGTTTCAGCGAGAGAATACTGAGCCATAGACGGCTCAATTACATTTGCCTATTTTTGAACTGGTTTAATCTTCCAGAGCAATGAATTTAAGATTCGTGTGTCTTTCCCGCCAGGATCGACAGAACACCACTCCAACCACCATAGTCATCACTCCCAGCAAAGCATTGACTTCAGCAGAATAGACATGGATGAACTAACGTGCGGCGGTGATCCGATGATGATACAAGAAGATGAAGCTCTAGTAGATGGGTCCGAGCTCGACCAGTACCTTCCACCCGGTGCGCAACAATCACATTACCTGTATCCCAATTCGCTACCCCCATCCCACCCTCTGTGGACCATCCACAAACCCCCCAGTGAAGACCCTTCCGGTGAAACTCAAGAATCCAACAACAACAACCACATGAAGCATAATAAACGGTGCAACGAGACAACCCATACAACCTTGGAGTATGCTTACAATACCTCTGATGATCCCCTGTCTCTGCCACCACCAGCCTTACTCAGATACCATGAGCTTCAGCCCTCGTCAGGCCTTATCAAAACCGAGAGAGATGTATATCATCAGGGTGTGCCAACTACTGTGTCTGGTTCTTCGCCACCACCGACTTTATCGTATCACCAAAGTTTTCCCCTGGTTCCAACACCAAATTATTACACTACGGGAAGTGGTAACTCCACTGTGAGTGCCCCACACGGTCAGTATCTGCAATCACTACCAAGTTACCAACAATATTTCCAGCAGAGAGGAGCAACAGTTTTTGGGAATTCAGCTGATACGGCATGGTCAAATTACTCGTACGTGTGACACGAATTGTTGGAAAGTTGATGCAGTTGTGTCAAGTGTCAACTGAAGTTGTCAGTGTTTGAGACATACAAGGTGTCGTGTCAAGTGAAGTGTCGACTTTGCGACAGACAGGATGAAGTGACAATTGGTGTCAGATCTTTTGGACAAAGTCTTGTTCAGAACTTCTAAAGCAGAGACAACCTTTACACACTATTTGTACTATTAGCATAGAGATTAAAAAGAAAATGTATACCAGATTCTACAGACATTATTAGGACAGTAAATGACCTTACCAAAATATCTGAAACTAAACAAGCAATTAACAAATGAGTCAGATTAACACAGTAGAGATATTTCAGTCAGTTTGTAGCGTTCTCATTTGCTATGACGTGGCGTGCCTATGAAGCAGTGGAAGGCAACCTCATATACATAAAACAATACATACATATAACGTATACCATTTATACATAATATTTTATAGCCTTAATTCTGTACAGTGTCTTGTAGACAGTTCATGTGTCAAGCGACCTTTTTCTGTATCTATATACAGTATCTGCATTCCAGTTCAATATTATATTTTATTTTTAAATGAAACGTTTATTTTGAATCAAAGACAGTTGGAATATGTTGTCTGCATGCCTGCATGTGGGAAAATCGGAGAACTTACTTCCAAGTCTGTACAAGTTGCGGCAATGTTAACGCGCGCCTAAAACAAGATGGCGTGCTCTACCGGGGTGGTCTAAAGTGTATGTGTTAAGTACACAAATTGCATCATGAGACTCCACAAGCAGAAGTGTACCACTTGAAAAACAAACTGTAGGGCCTCTTAAATAGTCTTTTTCTCTTTTAACATATACTTGCAGTTAAAACATAACACAACCCTCACTTATTCCGTATTTTTTCAGTTTTTAATGAAAGTTATTTTAGGTGCAAGAAGAAACTTTCCATAAGGATCAAATATAAGTTATGTTTGTTTTAAAGTGAACGTATATACTTTTCTGATGACTGCGATGTGGTGATGGATCAGAGTACTCAAGGCTACTTCAAAGCATTACTTTCGTGTATTAGCTTCTGCCAGAAACGTATGGAGAATTCCAGGATTCTCACTCTTTAACATCTAAACCTCTCCTAAGATTACTTCCTTCTAGGACGTGGCGCCGTGTAGTCTGGTAGAGCTTAGCCCTTAATATGAAGGCAGCAGTTTCTTCCAAGACGTCGGTACCTATATACCAGAATACACGGCGTCACGTCCCAGAAGACGGTCACCACTGCGAGAGCCTCAAATTTCGTGTATTTCGAATGTCTGTAATAAAATATTAATTCCACCCTGCATGTCGACCGAAACATCACCATCTTCAGGGGTATTTACTTACTGCTGACGCTGTTGAATGTTTCACGATACATGAATGCAGTAAAATTAAAATGTAGATTTAAAAGAAGACTCGTCGCGGTAGTGGTGTCAGATATTTGATTCATGGTGGTAAAATTGTGATCGATTTGTATTATCAAGTTCATACCAACATTCTTCACATCCATACTTCTTGCATCCTGTTGTGTGTACTTCCTACATCCTTTTGTGTATTTCTTGCATCCTATTGTGTGTACTTCCTACATCCTGTGTTACTTCTTGCATCCTGTTGTGTGTACTTCCTACATCCTGTTTTACTTCTTGACTGTTTTACTTGCATCCTATTGTGTGTACTTCCTACATCCTGTTTTACTTCTTGCATCCTGTTGTGAGTACTTGTATACTGTTGTGTATACTTCCTACTTCCTGTTTTACTTCTTGCATGCTGTTGTGTGTACTTCCTACATCTTGTTGTATTTCTTGACTGTTTTACTTGCATCCTATTGTGTGCACTTCCTACATCCTGTTTTACTTCTTGCATGCTGTTGTGAGTACTTCTTGCATCCTGTTTTGTGTTGGAATTAATTTCGTGCTGACATAAAAGTAAACATAATTCCTGTAGCTTGTGTTGACGGTTACTGCAGTACCGGGTTAATAATACCTCCTGCGATGTAACACCATATACGTAGTTCGGTCAAAGTTTACGTGCTTTGCGGAGGCACGTACTGCTTACATCTTCAGGGTGTGAGAGCAAGTCTTGCAAGCAACAAACTGATTATGATTACGGCTTGCATGGCTTATACTTGATTACGAAGAAAGAGGCATACGTTCAAATACCTTCAAATGGAGTGTACGGTGTCATATCACCATTAATGACGCAACAGCCGAACCTGAGCTCTGCGCTCTCTAAAGACGTTTCGCCAACTGATGATTCATAACAGCATTCTTCGGAACTCTTGATACCCGCGTTTTCTGTGAGGTACGAACTGAATATTTATATATTACGGAAACCATACGTCAGTTTACATCCGGATGGTCTTCCCACCGGCCAACTCCAAGATTTTCCTTGATTTTCCTCGGTCCTAGGGAAAATACCGAGTTCTTGTCCAAATTCCACGTTGCACTGCTTGCTTCACATGTAGCTCCCAATGGTAACAACAAAATTTCGTTCTAATGCAGCCCTTCCAACATTAATATAAAAAAATCCGATCATACGCAATAAAGACCCTGCCCAACTTCCTCTGCTCATAACAAAGTCCACTTCTTAAACATCTAGCTTCTTCACTTCCCAACGCCTTACCCTAACTCAGAAGTACCCCCACCAGGAAAACGAATGTGCACTGACTAGGCACCTTCAGACAAGGAACACTTTTCTATACCCCTCCTGCAAATATGTGTCTCTCCCCCCCCCCCCACTCTCCCCCCCCCCCCCAACTTTGTTCTCACTCTCTTTCTCGCTTCATAGAGTCAATAGCCATTTCATTTGAAGTGCGTGGACCGCTTGATAAAAGTTCAACGCCGAGACACTCCACTGGTGGTATATCTCGACAGTCTACTTCTGTGGAGCCTTAGTGGACATGGTGATATCATGCAGTTCTCACAGCGGTAACGCTCTAGAGGTGCCCGGTTCGAATCTTGGCGTTTCGGAGGTACATTTCGCTCCCATCTTCAAGGTCAAAGGATGAGCCAAGCATGAAACCATCATGAAGCAGGTAGCTCGAAGGAACATGAGCTCTGAGTGTCATGTCATTTCACGCCGGTGCCTTCGCTTAGCTTATTCTTCGACCCTGAAGATAGCGGTGAAATGTACCTCCGAAACGTCGTTTGAATTTTAACGGACTATACGACTTTTCTTCAATTATTCGCTTAATTTGTTGTACATTTAGCGCTGCCGTCACTGTCCCAAACAGTATGGCGTCGATGAATTGTAAATTATTTGGACTGAAGTAGTCGTGGTCCAGTCGGCGTATTGTCCAAGAATTTACCTGGGGTACTGAGCAAAACCACGAATACATCAAGTCACGATAGGCAATGTCTCAGCCGAGACTGGAACCAAGTACCGCTACATCATCCTCGTTGGTACATTCAGCCGTCACCGTACAGTCTGACAGTGTCATTAAATAAATAACAAATAAAAAATATATTACGCTGAATATTAAAGAAGGGTTAAACTCGGTGTATCAGCACGTGCAAATGAAGTGAAACGCTTCGAATATGAATATAGGACTTCAGATGTAAACCACGGGTTTATTCATACTGTCTCTAGTTTTTAATAAGACTGTACAGAGGTTCTGGCTCGTGTCTGTACATAAAACAGACCGCCGCCATTACTCTGACGTCATCATTCATCACGTTCTACATAAAGAGGGTGTGAGGGCTGGAAGCAATTAGAAATAGAGAAACAAAGAGGGGGGGGGGAAAACAAAAAAGGATTTGGGTTTTAATATCCTTCCAGTTGATCTTCGTTTTGCTTTCAACATAAACAGAACACGGTTCTGCTGAAAGTGTACATGAGTGTGATGATATGCAGCCTGTGGAGCGGGTACTGAGGTTGACAAGTGTAAACTGCGTAAACATGAAACTGTCTACAATATTAGATAAGTAAAATTTAATTCAGATATTTTAAAAACGTGGGATGAAGACCATCTGTATAATTCCTACCCCCTCATGCGTACGAATATTATAGCTCAATAAAAATAAAGCTATCCCTGTACCAGGCCGTGAAGGCCCATAGGGTCCCACATTATCTAGACAGTCGGCTCAAAGATGGCGGTAAGGTTGTCAGCCTTACGCGCCGGCCGCACTTTACTTCCCAGGAAAATTATTTATTTAATTCCTGGTACTCATTTCGGTTAGAGGCTGAGTAAACCCCACGGCCTACTGCGGCTGGAAGGATTAGGTCAACTGAAAAAAATCCAATGACCTCATCGGGACTTGAACCCGCGACCTTCCGGCATGTAGCGTAGCCCCTGAACCACTACTCTACCGCGTTCTGATGGCTCTGTATTGATTTCAAACGTCTTAACGTTGGCAAAAATAAGAAAAATCAACAGAGATATTATAGTACAGATATTCCTCTATTTGTGCGACAGTTGTGTTGAAAAACAAGTCGCAGAGAGTGAAACTGAAATATGGGACGTAATTTCCCCCCTTTCTCCTTTCGCACTACTACTGCGCAAACGCACACAATGGTCTACTCCTCCATCTCGCCTCCATTCTCAGCAAGCACTCTATTGGAGCGGGTGCTGTTAATTTAAATCAGTGTAATTTAGTTGATGGCATTAAATGAACGCGCATGTCACGAGGGACTGGCTGTTATGTGCTTATTTTCATTACATATATGAACACAGGAAATAGGGATTGCAACTTCCTGATTTTAAATTCAAGTACTGATTAAAAGATTCAACAGAGCAATTGGTTCACTTCGAATTTCTGTCCTGTCAGTGTTTACCAAAAAAAAAAAAAAAGTATCTCCAAATTATCTTTTATTCTGTAACTGTTAGTAAATATATTTTATAATTTCTCACAGATTTAAATTTTATATCATGGAATTTGATACCATGTAACAGTTATAGAATTTTATTCTTTAAAATTTTAGGTATCCAGCAACATTATAACCAACCCGTACATGAGGTTTACAGATTTTGTTGTATTAAGTAATATCAATTATCCATGTATTTTTTAATGTGAAAGGTAAATATAAAGCTACCACTGTAACGGTGAGATGCACCTTCAAATATCTCAAGATGTTTTCTGCATCTAAAATTCAGTCTCAATCTCACAACAAATGAGGTATTTTATATCGTTAAAAATGTCGTTTTCTTTTTTTCAAATAACGCAACTTGTATCTCCCTTATCATTATCTGAACATTATCTTCTGTATTGCGTATGTACTCAGTTCACGAATAACGCAGTGCGAAACGTCGCAGAATCAATACGTAATTATAATCAATAGAACATTTAATTTCCGTATCAAATGTCAGCACTAATGCATGGTCACAAAGATAATGACCACGTTATTAGCGGTACAGTAACACTTAATATTACATCAGTAATTATCACACGCCGATCAGTGGTCACGCGCGTCTAAGACATGAACAATCTTCGCCCGCTCAGACACTTCAGATCGTGGGTTCGAATCCCATTCGAGGCAAGGATGTCTGTCTACATTTGTTATGTATTTGTGTTGCCCTGTGTAGGTAGTGGCCTTGTGACCGGGCTGATCCCCCGTCCAAGGAGTCCTATCGTCTAATTAAGGAACTGAAGAGAAACTAGTTGTTTCACAGATGCCCCATGCTCCAGAGAGAGCAAAAGGAGGGATTATGAAAGCTTACCAAGATCAGTAACTCAGAATTCTTACTTGTAAAAACAACTTTTCTCACGGAGAAATATTTTTGTTCATATTTGTATATAAAATATTAAATACAATTAAAATGACATTCTAGTTTATCATAGTGATATGCTTCAATACATTTTCATATTACATGAGAAGGCATGTCAGTAGTTCCTTGTTGATATTAACAACACTTGTTACAATACAATATAATGGAACTTAGAGGGTTGTTATCAGCCTTTAGAACGAACTACTGACAGCACTTCACAGATATCACTTTATCACCAATAATTACATGAAGATTGGTGTAAATGGGTTTTGAATAAATATTGATCTGACTATTTCAAAATGTTATTGATAAAATAACGTTATATATTTATATTTATTCACGGTTATTTCTGTATGTTTCAAGTGTAGTAAAAGTGCATTTATATTAGTGTTCATCATATATTTTATACTTCATAATAATTATTAAGAGAAATGCTATTTTGTAAAAAAAAAATACATATTTACTTGTCAAAATAAAAGAACGACTTTCTATTGTACCAGTTTTATATCAAAATAAATATTTTTCGAAACTCGCTTCCTGCGCCGAATATTTTTCTTTCACAAAAATATATCATTGCCTAGAACAGGAGAAACGTCTTACACAAGTCAGCGTCGGCAAATAAACGTCAGGCGCGCATGGCAGAAATTATAAAATCTGCAGAAAGAAACCTCACGGTAAGATACCTTACTTACTCACTCACTCACTCACTCACTCATGGAGCTGAGCGCTTCTAGAGGAGCCGCCAATCCTGCAGCTACTCAAGAACTTCCCAGCATTTTATGGAACCCGAAGGTTCATTACCGTGTTCACAAGAGCCCTCCACTAGTCCCTATCCTGAGCCAGATCAATCAAATCTATACCATCCCATCCTATCTGTCTAAGATCCATTTCAATACTGTCCACCCACCTACGCCTTGGTCTTCCCAATGGTCTCTTTCTTTCTGGCTTTCCCACCAACACCCTAGATGCATTCCTCGTCTCCCCCTTTAATGCTACATGCCCTGCCCACCTCATCCTCCTTGACTTGATCATTCTAATTATACTTGGTGCAGAGGGTAAGACACAGTTTAGGATAAATAGGCGTAAGTGTAATGATAATATTAAAACAGATCCAATATAAATGTGCTATAAAAGGGCAGGGTGGGCTAGGGATAGCGTCCAATGACTGGTATTTTCTTGAACACAGCAACAAACTTTGGGCTCCATAACAAGGGGAGCAACAAGCTCATGGTGATGTTGGTGAGTGGATGAATGCAGAAGGCATATTGCGCCTACAGCACTCCGACACTGGCATACGAGTTATACAGTGTAATCATAACTCAGAAAGCTGCTCGGCACAAAATTACAGAGAAAATGTCAAAAATTTTGTATGCATTTTTACAAGCGCCATTTGGCGAAAAATACTGAAACACGATTATTCAGTTCTGAGACACTTCCCCATAGTCTGTGCGTAAATTAAGATATTTGCGATCATTTTCTGAAATGGTTTAACACTTTTCAAGCGACCCCTGTAAAATTAATTGTGTAAGTCAAATTAGAACGCTTTAGAAATATACATCTCAGTATTATCACAAAGGTTTGTTACGTCTGTCCTCAGATAACTAAAACAATTCTGGACATTTTGCCGCGGTCTAAGGCATGAACTGTCTTCGGACGCTGGAATCGTGGGTTCGAATCCCACTCAAGGCATGGATATCTGAGTTTATTCTGTTTGTGTTGTCCCGTGTGTAGGTAGGGGCCTTAGGACGGGCTGACCCCCCCTTCCAAAGAGTCCTACCGACTGTGTTTAGGATTAAGAAACTGAAAAAGCGGCCAAGATCCAACAAAAGGACTTGCAGAGTTATAGATTCTAGACATTTTTCACTATCAGTAATGACGTGGATGTGCGTGTAATCTGAAACACTGAGATTACAAAAAATAAAATGATTAATATTATCCGAATTTGCTTAGAGAGATATATTGTTGAATTTGAAACAAATGAATACATTTCGCAAGTCTTGAAGATTGAGAAGGCAA